AAAAGGCCTCCAGAAAATTTAACTTACGGAGGTTTTTGATACGCTGTTCCTAACGAAATTCTGACAGGGACTTGAAAACAATCCAAAAGTGATATAACAAGGGCTATTTTACTCACTTGAATCGCAAGACTTGAACATATCGACACCCAAATGCACATTATTGTTCGTTCCTCATATAATATCATGATGATTTTGCTCGCGAATTCGAAACGCACTCTTCATAATTGCCATTTGATTCATAAGCGGGTCTGTTATGAAAGCTTCTTCGAAGCCATGTCCGTGTGATCAAAAATTCATTTCCACAAAAATTTATCCATTGAATGCTTTCAACAGGAATATTTCAAAATCTGACGAAATATAAAGAAGTAACATTTATTGGCAACTTATTTGAAATTCAATACGTTCACTTCATTTGAGATGGAACTTCCTTAGCATGAAACTCAGCATGTTTTTGATCGCAAAAAAGAAGGATTAATGAGGACGACTCTTTCTTCGATTAAATTCGAGATTTAATCCCAATCAAAAAGCGTTACTTAGTACTGTATAGGAAAGGATCAATTTTTTAAACTGAATGCAAGGTACAGTAATGTACTAGCACATTCAAGCCGCACCGAATTTCAAGAGCCGATCTCGGAAAAAATTCATCAATCGAGTGAAAACAATAATGCAAATGGGAAAAAATTTAAAATTACCAGAACGGCGATGAGCAAACATTCAGTTTTCAGTTATAGACACGGTTTTTGAAAATCTCCGATCTTCGATTAAATTTGTGGCATGGTAACAAGATCTGCTGGGAACTCGGTGAACAAAGAGGCACATCTTGATTCAAAAGCCCAGGTATAGATTCCGTGATCTTGGATCATCTCGGATTCAGTAGATAGGGTATATAAGCAATGGATCAAAAATTCATCAAGACCCCCCACACCTCGAACTCCGAAAACTTATGTTGATTCCCTCTCCACAGCACGCGTTTCTTCGACAGTATAGATAACGAACCGAAGTCTCCATCACACGAGGTCATTCACATCAGAACTAGTTCCTCAATTTCCATTTTCCAAGAAATAATCAAGCGGGATCCGGAAAGCACCACACTTTTCCAAAACTTATCATTGATCGCGGATGATTCTCAGTCTTCATTATAAAATTAGATCGTCGGAAGTTTTGTGAAAAAAAATCTCAGACACGAATCAATACCCGAAAGGCATTAAGAAATCCAACATAGAAAGAAGCAGCGCATCGAACAAACTCGTGACAAAGGATCAGCAAATGCAATATCACGAAGCTTCCGCTGGGTCACGGACAAAGCATTAGGAACAAAGGGTGCAACTAGTTCACGGTTCCAAGGAAAATGCAGGTTATCACCCTGAACGAGTATTAAAACCAACGTTGACCGACGCAGTACGCTTAGATAAATAAAGGCTTCGACACTTTCATCACATTCCGACGCAATAAGTACAGTAGTAGTAATAGAAGATACGAAAAATGCGCTTAAATCTTCGAAGGAGTGGAGAACACACGAAATGTGAATATTCTTGTTGCTTACAATGCCTAGGAGAATTTGAGAGAAAATTCCGCATAATACTATTGGACCATTGCCCTTGCGCAGAAGTTGAATGCCCGCGTCACAAGATGAAAGACTTTTACAATTGAATGATTTGATAAGAATTAAAATGAATTGAGTATACTGTATTGCTGTTCGTGCAATTGAACGCGACGGACGTTCAACACGGTAGAATGCAGGAAAGATCGCGTACATTATTTCAGCAAGTCCAGATTCTGCTGTTGGTGTGAAAATATCACTAATTCGCGAGACCAAGAAAAACACTTGGTCGACTCTTAATCGGAGAGCGTGAACGGATTTTCAAAATACGCTCAGCCTGGACCATGATGTCACCAGCATTTACATTTACTTGGAAATTCAGCGAACGATAGCACAAACGCACAGTTGGGAGAGCACAAATAGAAACCTTACAGAGACGATCTAGCTCAGAGAACCTGGTCAAGCCGGGATTAATTTGGAAAGCGTTGTCGCAAGGTGCGAAGGAAAAGACACACTGATCACGGTTTCGTTGCCAGCGTTGCTGGTTTGTTGCTGCATGGCTAGCTCTTCGCTTTTCCCAACCCGCGCTTCGTTTTTCCGCCGCACTTGTGCAGAATGGGGCCATCAGCAGCAGGAGGGAGAGCATGGTGGCTGACAGGAAACTCTCCGATCTACTGTACACTAGTACAGTAGTCTTCTCTTTCCTTTATCGCTCTTCATCATCGTGTGGTAACACACCCAGTGGATCTCTATTCTGATGCTAAGTAGGGATGAATCCGCTCATTGCAGTTGCTATGCAACATCATTGATGTGCAGGACTCCATTACCCATTTTTTTATATAGCAAAGATTTTCAACATTACCCAATATTAGCAAATAACTCTTCCCGTTGAAAAGGAGAATCTGATTGCCGAAAACCCTTTCAACACTACATTTGTTGAGTACTGTACATCAGTAAGTCCCTCTTCGTCATCAATTATGGACGCAAACGTGGTGGATCCCCAATCCCCATCCTGTCCAAAGCTAGAAAGAATAAGTCTCAGAAATTTATTAAGAATGGATGAGGAAAAATTTGTTGATTACAGTCGTTAATTTACTTTTAAGATTTGTTCTACAAAGAAAAGTTCCGCCATGTGTCAAACTTTCAGCATCCGAACCTTAAGCATACTTGGGATAATCTTCGTATGACAAGCATGGCTCATTAGGCACCCCTCAGCATTTTGTGCGGCGCACGTTCATTTTCTGGTTGTAGGTGAATATGCTGTTACCTCTATCACTAAAAGAATTTGTGATGGGTACGAATTTTAGGAACAGTTTTCACCTCGACGACCATTTCATGGTTCTGTACAGTCCTTTGACAACATCAAAGCTGCAAGTGACATCAAGTGTAGAGGGTACGTATGATTCACAGTTTGAGATCAGATGTACAGTTATTACCAATTCTCCATAGTACAGTAAGATTTCTCCACAGTCACACTGAGATAAGTTTGACTTGGAATGAGTGGACACAATATTTAGAATACTGAGTCTATTCACATAAGCACACTGTCGCACACAATAAACAGGAGGTCCGCACTGGTCGGAGGTTTGAGGTAGAATGAGGCTTGGCGTGCCCCTCGTTACACAAGATGGCCGGTCGTTGGCGCGCGGGCCGTTGCACCGGCGTACCCTGATTGGGTAGGAGATCTGAACGAAGCTCGATTCGAATACGCGTTTGTACAAGTCGCGCGGGACTAATGGCCGCTGGCCGTTACTAAATCATTACGAAAGTTTTGCTGAATCAGCGTGCTGGGAAGAAGATCCAAAATTCAAGGATGCCCGCGCGACGCAAATAATGGATGAAGGAAGACCGTCTCTTGAATGGTGTTAAAAAAAATTATCTCGAATGTAACGCAGTGGAACTTCTGGTTCATGCTTTCGCTAGAAACTTGGTTTACAAGTATTTCCGCTTATCCTGAAGTACATCTGTTTTTCCAGCACTTATCGTCCTGATGATTCGGTCCAGAATGCTTCACTGCGTGACAAAACCAGTTCGTACCGGACTTCGTCCATCTGCATATGCGCGTTGAATTTTTGTACCAATATTCTTTTTAAATTTACATAGATGTCACTATATTCGAAGTTCCGTTTTAATCAAGTCAACCCCTGGAGCTCCATCCGACAGTCTATTTATCCTTTTAAAAAATTTCCAGGTGGTGTCTGTCATTCGACCATCGGCTCATAAGTTTAACGCGACTAAATACCTCGCATTTGCATGGAATACAGTATTTTCTGTATAATGTAGAACCCGGCGTATCTGTCTAAATTTTCATTCATTAAGAGGAAAAAAAATAACCTGCGTGCCTCCACGTGGACAACTATTTCTCGACGAATTGTACATCTGTGGGAATCAGTATGCGGTAGGTGATTATTTATACATTGTTCACTCATTCAGCGAAAGTTTTATGGCAGCCGTGATATTTGTTTACTATGGATCATGGAGTTCGTCTGCATATAAGCAGTGAACTGCGTCTTTTATTCCTTTTCGGTTATTATGTTACAAAAAATCATCTTCGTTTTAAATTCAATGGAGAATGAGGTGCGCAAAAATCCAAATTATTTAAAATTGATCCAATTAAACACATTAATTAATATAATTTTGATTGCACTCCGTCTGTTTTTGAAAAGTTGATCACAGCCCTCGATAGCAAATAATGAACGCTTAAGATTGGCGAAAGACAGATTTTTTATTCAATTTATGCTCGCCTTTAGCTTGAAACGGCCATTGGTTTCCACGATTTCACTTTTCTCTATATGGAATATACAAATGAAACCTAATTGAATTGCTCTTTGTCCTAATTTTCAAACCTTTTTTCGAGGAAATGTTTGAAACAATCTTGATCGTCGGCACGTGCGCTGTCATGAGGTTGCTTTTTTCTTAGGCTGGAATAAAATTAAATGAGTGTTGGGTGAGGTTTTGTTGAATCTCCGATAAGAAGTTCTTTACATGTATCCTGCGCGTTAAGACCTTTTATATAGCCCCTTTTTATGAGGACGAAGGATCAACTCGGTGATGATCATGCTTTCTAATCCCGAATGACGTTTCCTCCCGAAAAATGGAAAGTTTTTTTTGCGCACTTGTTAGTTTTCTTCAGCTTATCAATGCAGTCTCATTTTTATTCAGTCCCCAAAATGCACAGATCAGGTATTTTTTACATGGAGAATAGTTGAAGGGAATGCCATTTGTATCTGTTGAGCTGCTATTCAATGGGAGGCATTTATTTTTTTTCCGAAAACCAGACCACACGAACAGGATGATAGCTGCTTTCTTGATTTCACGCATACTCATAGCATTCTGTTCATTTTCCAGGAATCCCAGAATGTGTTCCTCGTGAATAATTCAGCGTAAATTAATTTCATTGCCGGCGTGGCTGTTTTCCAGAGTTATATGGTATGCATTTTTCTCCCGCCCCGCATTGCAGATGGACGCGGACTCGGCATTTGTCCGACTGAACAACCGTTTGGTGCGATCCCTGCCAATAAACGCTGTTCAAGACCCGGACACGATTTCGCACACGCCTGTGTTCCATGATACTTGGAGCAGACAAGAGCTGAATTTGACCATGATCCAATGCCGCGGCTCGACCAAGTTCGGCGAGGACATCCTGCAAATCGAGCAATTCAATGTCGTTCCAGTTCGGTGGACCTCCGAAAATCTCACCTTATTCTTGGTGCTAACCAGCAGCTCTTTGATTGTTTACGCCGAGCAATCCCGAAATTTTAAGGATGCTTACATTTCCATTGCTGAAATCAACGGTGGGTTTGCTTTGCTGGCGGCGAGAGTCTCAATATTAATCGAACTATCCCACAGATTTGTCCTTTTTCTTTTTTACGGATACGATAGACGAGTAGCTAAATGTACTCGTTTATTTTACCAAGATGAATATCACCGCAACAACAAAAATCGAATAAATATACATTTCGGAGCTTCGATTTTCCATGATCGTGCGCGAAATCGAGTGAACATCTCAGAAAAATTACCATAAATAAAAATCGATGCCCACACTCTCGTAAATGTGTTCAGAACTCACCGACTCCTGTTATTTTTTAGGCCAATTTGATAATTTGCTACCCAGAACTCAATACACTTGGATTAGTGTATTTTGCGTGATTTGCCTGTAGGTCGAACATAGTACAGCACATTACTTCAGAACTTTGACAAGAAATTTGCTGCTTTGCTGAAATGATATGTGTTGATAATGCCTTTCTCAATTTATTTCATTCTGAAGAAAATGACTCGGAGATGGGGTTCTAAGTTGTTGAGAGACTAAAAGGAATTGCATTCTTCAGATTGAAAACTTTGTATATCAATGCTTTGTTTTGTTTTTCAGGAGATTTTGATGTTCGAGCCGCAGTTCCCGATAATGCGCTCATCACGTTTGCTGCTAAAGTGAATGATCAAAGTACCGAAATTTCCTTTTACAATCAAGATGTGTTCGCACTAGATGAGCGCTTTGCAACCAGCCCAGTTTTACAAGCTTTTGATGTTTTCCCGTCTGCATTTGGCACAAAATTAGTGTCGGTCGAGCGGAACTACCAACCAAATATCCGAATTCCACTCGTGCAGGTATGTGCATGCATTTTTATTTGTGTTATTTTTGAATTGAAAAGAGTCTAACATGTGTTTTCTATTGTACAATATTTTATTATTTAAGAACACCTAATGTTGGGGTTATTTTGCGATTCCTTCGCAACAAAATACTGTTGTGCCCAGAAAAAGCTTTGTCGTTGCAATCGTGGTTGTATGCACAAATCAGGAGGGAAAAAAGTTTGTTATTTACAAACCAATATTTTTAGCAAGCTATAATCTGACCCGAGCAAGAAAAAAAAAACTCAATCGGTTGGATTCCAGGAATAAATACTAGCATTTAAAACTTTTTTGCTTTTTAACGACAAGAAGTGTAGGGTATTATGGGACAATCCAGCAATGAAATGAATTACCTTTCGAAATTGGGGATGTGCTCAATTTAGAATCCGTTATTGGCAATGTCACAGAATGCAGAATCAACCTTTGTTATTTCCAACGATGATCCAGAATTCTTTCCACAGGTGGTGCATGTGATGAGAGATACTGAAGGGTACCGGAAAGCAGCAGAAATCCAGATCTATTTACGGGAATTGCCCGATACCCACAACCTCAGACATCTGGTGGATGCTAAAGGATTCAGCATTACAAATGATGTTACTTACTTGGTGATTGCTGTCGATGGAACGAGCATATCGATCCATCAATTGCTTGGTGAGCACCTGCTTCTTTATTCATGAAATTTTTTCAATGAATGTTGATTAGCCTGGCAGTTGGTCAGTATTGTCCGATCATTTCATCCTTATTTAGAGGGAAGCTGGAAACGTGATAAAGGATCTCAAATTGATTTCCGTAAGCGTAAATCCTACGTGGATTTTATTTTATAAATGCCGAACACTTCACACTTTAAAAATTATGACAATGATGTGACTGAATTGAATAAGTAGTCGCGTTTTATTCTGAATAAAAATTCAAATTTTCCAAAAATGTTTCATGGCTTTTTGAATAATATGCCAACCATTGAAGCTCAAAATTCCATTTTAATTAATCGATTTCGATAAAAATTAAATGATCGGCTCGAAAAGTTTGCTTGAGCATTTTCTGGACGCTTTCTATTTAATGTTTATGCATTTTATTTTTGTTTCAGGATCCTCTGGAGCTGAAGAGTTGCTCAACGTGCACGCAAAAGACATTGTGAAATTACTACCGGTACTCAAAATTGGCTCAACTGTGTATTTGGGAGCATCAACATCGAAAAACGATATCTTGGTTTTCTCGTCGAGGAACTTGGGCAAATCCCGACCAGATGATAGCCAAGTTTGCCAAGTGGGTTATGCTAGTGGTGAATCGCTGCTGCAATCCTTCAATTCGGAGGCTTCTTCGGGAACAGTCATTGCCCAGAGGGAAGCCATCAGTTCTGCCCAGACACCTCTGGAAAAGTTTGCTGAGTTGGCTAAATTGGGAGTGGCCCTTTGGCTCGAGAAGTCAGCGGATCCGGGGGTTTTCAACAAGGTATTTGACATTTTTACATGATTTTACAATTTTCTGTATAATTGAAATATAAAATCGAACTGAAGACACACAAAGTTTTTCAAGAAGTCACGCAGGTAAAAAAAATTGCACTTTTTTCGGGGAAACCCGTTGGCTAATCTTCCCCAAATTTTATTCAATGATCTAATTTATTACGTTAGAAGAAGACGACGTTGGACAAAAATTCAGAATGCTTTGAGGGAATTCAAATGTTTACCTTATGGAAAGCGATAATTTTTCATCTTTTCTTTCCATCATTACGAAACTCTGCAATAATTCTAACTTATCAATTTTTTTGTTATTTTGGGATTTTTCGACAACTTTTCCCCAAGGAGTTCAATCTCAGATTAATTATATTTTGTATTATATATCTTGTATAAGCCTGAAATTACTTTTCTCACACACAGATTCCTGCAGGAAATCTTCCGTGGTACACATGACTAATCTGAAAAAAGCATTTTTGGAATCAGCGGAAAATCGTGGATTTTTTCAAAAAAAAAATTTTCTGGTCCTCTGACTTTTGTTGCAGAGATTTAGAGGATTATACCGTAAGTTGGTTTCAGACGAGAACCTCTATGGGATAGATAGAGATTCCTATAATAAGGGGGAAAACGTCGTTTTACCAAGAAAATTTGTATACAGAGTAGTGTTCCGAACCTTTTTGGGGCCCGTGGACCGACAGATATCCAAAAAACATTTCGCAGAACAAGTTTTGCAAAATTATTTTGGACTGAAAAGTTTTGCTTGAAAGACTTCATGGCAGGCATTCAAAAAGTATCTGCTTCTTTGCAAAAATCAAGAACCAATGACGCTATATATAGTGGAATGTCTTGGAAAAATTAGAATGGTGGGCTTGGAGAGAGATTTCTTGGACTGGAATAATTAAAATAATTTATTTCAGCAGGTGAAAGTTTGTCTGAAGTGTAATTGGGAGAAAACCCAACTTTTGTTTTTCTTCTGATAATTTCAATTGCCACTGTCTTCCTTAGATTTCAGATAAAGACAAAAGACTTCATTGCTACTTCTACCAATTTATTATGCGGATGGGTTGGGGAACACTGGTGTATAGAGAGTCTAACTAGGATTTTTTTTCTTTAAAAAACCGAGCAGAACAGCTGGGATGAACAAGATTGATGAACAAGTTCAATTTGTTGCAAGATTTTTATAAACACGTTGAGCTTAATTGTGCCATCAACTTTAGGTGCTCGACTTGTGCGAGAAAAATGCGCCGGACATCCCTGTGCGAGTTGTAACGGAAATGAGCGCCCTGGCACCAGAGAAATTGCAGAGAATGCGGGACGTGGTGTCGCATCTGCGCCAACTGTCGTCATCTGGATACAAGATCACGGTAGTTCGCCCATCCTTGCCTCGTCCGGAACACGTTGGCGACAGTGGCGAAAAGTGGAAGCTTGCTGAGGCACTTCTGCCTCAAGGCATTGGTGCCGGACAAATCCACTTCTTTATCAGCATACGGCAACTTGGAGCACCACGTCACAGATTCACAGTGTATTGGTGAACGATGCTGTAGGTTTATACGAACATGCATTCCGGCAAATTTACGATAGCACGGTTTTCCCCCCTTTAGAATTGTATAACTTGTTTTGTTTTTTTGTCAAAATATGGCCCTGTGAATCTTTTTTTTATCTATTTCTGGGCTCATCTGAGGAGGAAATTGAAGCATGTGCGATGTTACTTCATGTTACATTCTTTACAGATGACTGGATCGGGAAAGTTTGCATAACATTTTAGAGTAATTTCAGCTGAAAAGTGCTGCGCTGGTCATGTTGAATTGAATTTTGTCTCGTTGCTTTGAATTTTGTCATGTGGAGTTCATTCAATTTTGTTAGCTTTGCCTTCGGTCAAAGTCAAAATGGTCGAGTCACCTGAGTGGACTCAGGGTAATATATTGTTTTGATTCCTTTTGAAGTTGGTCCAAGACTCAAGAACACTTCAAGTACGTTGGAAGGATCAATTTAATCTTACAGCCTGAAGAATTGATAAATCTTTCTATTTAGAGGATTAACGCCTTGGGTATTTATCGTTAATTGCATGCAATTCAGCTAGTTTTTGTTTGTTTCTTTTGGACCCAGATCAAGAAATTTTACCTAATTCAATTCGAGAAATTGCATTGTTTCATGTTGGTGTTGGTTGCTTCTTTCCTTCTGATTTTTTTTTTTTTTTTTTACATTAGTTCGGTTGAATACTCCGTTTAATGTTAAGGAATCACGCGCAGCCATGCTGTGATTGCTCAAAATTGTATACTGCATATGCTCTGATGAAAACGTTACCTGTTCCTCTCAAGTTTGGGTTTGATTCAAATTGTTGAAATATCTCATGATTCTATGACGCCTTCTTCACACAAAGCAGTGCCTCCCATTGAGATAATAATTAGGGAATATATGAACTTATCTGACGGCACTCTCGGCCAGCTGGAAATTCAGTATATGATGATATCACTTTTGAGAGGGAATTCGGAAGAATGTCACAGCATTTTGGGAGTTCATTTGTTGGGAGTTATGACAGAATTTTATTCATAAAAATGAAGCAACTGCAGGGGCGTTTGGTGTGCAGCATTACATCGAGTTGAAGACTTGAGGTAGACCTCAGACTTTTTCCATAAGCATTCCCCAAAAGCACCGATTCATTTTTGCAATTTCACGAGCTAAAGCGGACAATTTCCAGACCATGAACAAACTATGGTTACTGGTACAGTATATATTTTTTGCTGTGTTTTAGAATGCCTAGCTTGGGTGTATGATGGAATAAAATGCGTAAAGTTTCGCTTTCCATTAGTTGGAAATTCCAGATGCTCATTTTTTCATTGATTAATTGCTTTGGATTCTTGTCTAAGTAATTTCATTAAGCCGCATAAAGCATTAACTGTATTCCCAAATGAAATTGTTGGAGATCCCGCAGAAACTTGTTCTGGTCAATTTTGAAACGATTTTAAAACGGGTTTGAATTTATCAAATTAATATTTTACGCAATACTTCCTCTGAGCTGAAACATCTTCTAATTCTACACTATTATTCCTTGGATTACACATTTTAAATCGATTTTCCAGCTGTGAGGACCGAAAAAGTGTCAGCTCCTTAATTGCTATGTGAACGTGAGAAAGAGAAAATTGACCGGGAATTTTTTTAAATCATGTTTCCGTGCGGATATCAATATTTTCATCATTTGATCATCAGTCAGGAATTTCTGACTTGTGCGATGGTGATAGCCTTCGTTTCCTCTGTGAATATTGAAACATTTGAATCCATTATACAGGCAGTTGAAATTTGAAAAGGCCGTTGCCATGTGTTGAGCGGCAGTAAATATTGTTTTTGTTATTCGCTAGTCAAAATTGAAAATTTATAGAATATATGTAATTTTGGAAATATTTATGTAGTATTCAGAGCAGCTCTTTGTTCGAGGTTTCTGTGAATGACGAGAACTGTAGGCATGATCTCATTTTGCTCTAACGTAGCTTTAATTCTGAATAAAAATAATCTGAGCTAAATTCCCTCGCTCATATCTGAGCTAAAAAAATAATATTAAGAAATCCACACTTGAATTTTTATTTAATATTAACAGTAGCTTTGAACTCAAATTTCCTTGAAAATTATCCGGATGTGAGCCTCCAATTGAATCAAATCGAACTCAGTGGGTCCATGCAAAACTTTTCCATTCATACTTCGTAATTGTCTCGTCCTCATGATGTTCGTTCATACCAGTGAGACCCGAAGATGTGGACGTAATCAATGCTTTGATCTAGTTCCGATGTCGGAATGTCTGCGAGCCGGATCACGTTATCCCATAGACCTGAATGGAAACTTATTTAATTGGTTCTCGCCATTCCATCAAAACTTAGAAATATATTCCCAAAAGAATTGAACAAAATATTGTTCTTGACTTGAATTTACTGAAATAATAGAATAGAACTGTGCAGAAGAAAGCCCCACAGAATTTGATTTTTTTCAAATAAAAACCCCACCATGCAGAGAACAAAGAAAAGTACTATTCTTGTTATGCTGTGCACAGATGATAAAAAATAATAAAAAAGAAACACGCAATTTGCATATTTTCAACGATAAATCTGGCTGAATTTATGATGGAATTCATTTTTTGTCAATAATATTAAGTACAGTAGCTCTGATTGTTCAAGAGATATCCAAATTGAAAAAAGTAAAAATGTTCCAGTTTTCCAGAAATGTTTAAGTGTCTGTATATATGTTATTGAGATATTTTCCATCTGATGTCGGGCAGATTTTCAAAGTTTTTTCTCCAAGTCGAATCATCCGTATAGTTTTTGTCGTACGCACATTGGGTCTCATTGCATCATCTCAGAACTTCGACTTGAATGACGAGTCGTTTTCCGAATGTTTTTCTTCTCGAAGCTTGGCTACGGTGGGGCTTCCTGGTGTTTGCCGTCCCCGTAGCCCGAGCTCGAAGCAGAAATGATGCCGCCAAAACCTTTCGAACTGAAACCGTCCGTTCTGCGTGATCCGAAGTCTTCGATGCCGACGGGAAACTTGGCGTGAAAGCACTGCTTTCTTTGTCAAACACCAATTTAACTGGCTTCGCTTGAGTTCATGAAAATATCCTCACTTTTAAGATCATGCTCAAAGATCATGCTTAAAAATCGTCACAGATCTTCCCAAGAATCCGTCTCGAACGTTCGAGCTTTTCGTATTTCGAATTGAAGATCAAGTACAGTAATTCTTACGAATACGATTCCCGAAATTGATTGTTATGGATTCCATTCATGACATGGAGCTGTTTCGAACCCGAGAAAATCACTTGTTGACGTGACATTTTCGTGCGCACTCTCAAAATATTTTTTCTTTTGATCAATCACGGATATACCGCATTATTCTAAGATTAAAAAAGATTTCTTCCTGCGTCGTCCCACGGCACCGCGAACAGCAACCGTCGGTCCAGAAATTCTGAAATTGCGAGTCCGTTGGAAAACGAGTGCTTTTCAGCTTGAGTTACGGGAGTCCGAAGACAGTCCCGGTGGTGAGCTGAACTCTACGATGGCATAATTCCTTTCGGATCGAGTCTTCCACGTCAAGACAGCTCAACTCGAAGGAAAATCCTTTCCCAGATATGCTAAGGAAATCACAACAATTCAAGCATTGAATCCCTTTCCTAGAATAACAATTGTATTGTAATTCATGCGCCGCGTGGCAGACCTCTTCGGATGCTGAGGCTACGTTAAGCTCGTATTTTGGTCAGTTCGTTGTACGTATAAGTCTTGGCGTGAATGAAAGGGCATATAAGGAGAAACAAGAGCCCAGCATTTCCAAGGTAACTCTCTCGCAGCTTGACCTGGGTGCTGATGCTTGTCGAAATTGGGAAGAATCTTGTGTTCCCCGCGAAAGGAAATAAAGATTTCGGACCACTGCGCTTCGATTTCCTCGGGCGCAGAAGTGCTTGCCCATCCGAGGAAGGGGTTCAGTTTTTCACTCGCCTCGCAGAAATCCCTGCATTCAACACAGTTATGTGTGCCATTTTTAAAATTTCTATCGATTCATCGTAATTGATCGAGTCACATGATCATCTTTGTGCGAAGAGAGAACAATCTCGTCGACCAGCAGTGAGCGAACTACCATTGGGCACCATAGGCACAATAATGGTACATGCAAGCGTTTTTCGTGTGAGGTTTTCGAAAGGCACATTTATGTACCCAACTAACGACTAACCAAGCTTTTCTTATGCTAGTGATAGATGCCAATAATGATGGTCCTATGCTGAAGATAACTGGAATATGCTGGTGCTACTCAAGTTTTCTCCTCTCAGAAATGGTAAAAATTGACGCGAAGGCTGAAAAGCTCCATTTTACATCAATCAAGTCAATCAATCGAATGTAGGCAAGGAGCAACTGAAGTGAGACTTTTGGATTGTCATCGAGAACCAGCTTGCTATAAGTATGCTTGGAGTTTTGACATGTTTCGAAGACAGCATTCGACGGAAATGCACGAGAAATGCTCTCTGGAAGTTCAAGTTCCCGCCGTAACGCAGGCTGAAATCCTTCGGAGCTGCTTTCAGGTTCTTTCCGCGTCAATAAAATATTGATGTGGTCTAGAACTGTTTCCGTGATTGCGTAATTATCACTAAGATACAAATTAAATGCTTCGATCGAGTTAAAAATTTCCGAGGAAGAGGCAAATATGTGATGGGCTTACATTGCTAAGAATAAGGACATGACATCCGATTCCTTGAACCGGGAATTCCAAGACGGAAACTCATCAAAAAGCTTGGACTTCTCTGTAGCGCAAGCTGAAATCTCACTGAAAGGCTATTGCCTGAATTCTGCTGAAATACTGTATAGAGATGTCAATGCCAGCCGAGTTACCGTTGAATCATGAAATTACCATTTAAAATTGCAAAAAAATGTGAAAGAAAAAATTCGAATGCGGATTTGGACGAAAAACGAGTGTTGGTATATTACTGCGTATTTGTATGGCCTCTGAGAAATCTTTCCGTCATTGAAGATGAAAAGTGCGTGTTTTCGGACACCTGCGTCCTTATTGTACGGTTATGAAAAGGTATGGACAATCGATTCAAATATTTTGAACTCGGAGAGCTGGCCATCTTAGGGTCTCTTTCACGGGTTCGCCCGTGTAAATGCCAGGAGCTCCATAATTTTTGGGCTGATTGACCAATTGGCGAAAAGACACAACAGCAGGGACTTGAACGAAGTCATGGAATTACCATTCATCAGTTCAATCACACGAATGACATCTATTTTGAAGCAAAACAGGGAAAAATCAACATTTGAATGTTTCCATCTCTCCGAATGCTTACAGGAAAGGTAAAATCAGTTGCTTTGAGAGAAGAATTCCGTTTGTCATCTGATAAAAGTGAATCGGCTACCAAGAAAATTATTTTATGGAACTCAAGTCCAGTACCATCAGTACCTTCTGATTCATTCAGAAGAGAAAGTCGGCTTGTTTTTCTTAAAATTTTGACTTGCGCAGCTTCACTTCCCCGACAACAACAAAAACTGATTTTAAAATAATATTTACTCAACTATTCTTCCATCTCTTGTATACTATTTTATTCCTTTTTTTAGATGCGGTTTTCAATTATCCCTATCCAAAAGCACCCGGTCATTAGACCTGATAATTTTCTTCCTAGAGTAAATTTTCCAATTCTGTACGTTTATCCAATATGAATTTGGTTGGCCTTGACTCAATTGAAGAATAGGATGAATACAACTGTCGAAATTCATCTTCGATCGCTTCTGTTCGGCTCATCTCTTACCAGAGGAGAAAATCTCCACATCCAAATACTTCCAGGATATGTTTTCTTTCCCCGACAAAATTCAAGACAATTTTGAGGGGTTTAAAAATCCGAAAGCTCAT